TTCCACTGCCTTCATTCCCATATCATGTGGAATAATGGTATAGAGGGATGTGACATCGCTTGTTACTAGATGGTAGCTCTCCTTCCATTGCGTTGAATCTAAAATTTGTAAGATATGAATAGTGTCTTTAAGGTGTGCTCTTGTTTTGACAACGATCGGTTGTAACAGTATATCTATATACTCAGAGATTCTCGAGGATATAGAGTCAATGCCCGAAATAATAGGGCGTCCTGGGGGATTGAGAGGATTTTTGTGTATTTTCGGTAAGTAGTAGAAAACTGGTGTTTTTGGGTGCATTACCTGTAAATATTTTGCTTCTTTTTCTGTAAGGATTTCTTGTTGTAGTCCTTTTTGAATAAAATCTCCAAAGAGTTTCTTAACCTTTTCTATGGGGTTTGAATTAAGGCTTCTCATTTAGTGTCATTGGATACATAGTATCCAGAAGAGAAGAGACACTAATACAAATAGACGAAGAAATTGACACATGGAAACAAAAACTCAGTGAAACCTCTAGTCCAGAAATATTTAATCAAACAATAAAAGAGATTAAAATAAAAATAGAAAGGGTAGAAAAGGAAACCATTGCCATCAAAAGAAAAAAATATTTGAGAGATACCAATGATTACAAGACAGGGAACATTCGGTTCCCTAAAAGAACAGTAAAGCAGAATGGAGGTTACCAAGGAGATGAGAGATATAAATTACGGAAAGATTTCCCTAGACAGATTAACCACACACAACAAACACATAGCCATAGCAGCCAACAACCTACCAAAGAAAAATTGCAAAGTAGAACATTTGAACGAGATCTGAAGAAAGAAAAATATCAAAATATTACATATGAACGAGGTAATCGCAGACACTACAGAGAAGAATATGACAGAAATGATTCCCAATATCCCACAACATCAAGGACATCTAGCTCTGTACACCATCATTGGAATAGGAGCTATAAAGACGTAGTGAAAGAAGGACGAAGACAAACATATGAATCCCCCCAGAAAGGGAGAAAGACTCATGGAGATAGAAGAAAGAGATATTCCTCAAAGGAGTCGAGAAGGAGAGATAGAAGTAGAAGTAGAAGTGCTGGACCAAAATACATAAGTGAGAGAAATCTTCAAAATAGATATAAAGAAAAAACGAAGATAATAAATAGGTCTCAGGATATACAAGGAGACATGAGATTACCCATTCCAGAACAAATCTATCCAAGGAGACACCAAAATAACTCACTGGTTTTTCGGGAGGAACCAGTAATAGAGAAGTTAAAATGGCAAGAGAAACCCACATCGTGGGAATCCCCAGGCAAACGCCAGAGGTCCAGAGAACTAGAATCGGAAGAAGGAATAGGAGGCAACAAAGAGAAGAGGGGGAGGTTATAATGTCCAAAGGAATATTTAACCTTACAAACTCTTCACTAACTAAAGATCAAATACATGTGCTACAAAAAGGTTTAAAGTTTGCCCCTACAGTAGAAATTGATAAATTTAACTTCTTTATAGACATGAATAAATTTATGAGGAATCTATGTCTTAAGAAATTTTTCGATGAAAAAGAGAGTCAACCAGAGGAACAACAGGAAATACAATATAACACAGAATTTGTACAAACACAATTAAAAGATAAATCAAATTTTTTTCCCAGACATATGATTTCAGATAAAATGAAAACTTTTGAAACAATGGTGATGGGTGAAATAAATAAAATCAAGAAATTAAACAAATTTCAACATATGTCCATAAAAGAAAAAAGTATCTTAAAGAATTTACAAAACAATAAAGACTTAGTCATTAAACCGGCCGATAAAGGGGGGGGGATAGTAATACTATCTAAAACTAACTATATGGCAGAATCTGAAAGAATTCTGTCGGACAATACAACTTATCAAAAACTTAATTCAAACCCCATAGAAAAGGTTAAGAAACTCTTTGGAGATTTTATTCAAAAAGGACTACAACAAGAAATCCTTACAGAAAAAGAAGCAAAATATTTACAGGTAATGCACCCAAAAACACCAGTTTTCTACTACTTACCGAAAATACACAAAAATCCTCTCAATCCCCCAGGACGCCCTATTATTTCGGGCATTGACTCTATATCCTCGAGAATCTCTGAGTATATAGATATACTGTTACAACCGATCGTTGTCAAAACAAGAGCACACCTTAAAGACACTATTCATATCTTACAAATTTTAGATTCAACGCAATGGAAGGAGAGCTACCATCTAGTAACAAGCGATGTCACATCCCTCTATACCATTATTCCACATGATATGGGAATGAAGGCAGTGGAATATTTCCTCATGAAAGCTAATTTTAAGATAGAACAAATCAGTTTCATTTTAGAGGGAATCCAACTTATTTTATACAATAACTACTTTTGGCACCACGATTCTTTTTACCTACAAATTAGAGGAACAGCAATGGGCACCAAATTCGCACCCAGCTACGCAAATTTGTTTATGGCGTATTGGGAGGAACATTTTATTTTTTCTCCACATCCATGGGTGTCGAATTTGGTGTCCTACCGACGATATATCGATGATATTTTTCTAATTTGGGAGGGGTCCACAGATTTATTGGAAAACTTCAAACTTTTTTTAAACGAGAACGATTGGGGAATCATCTTGACAACAGTACAAAGCCCTACAGAGATTCAATTTCTAGATCTTTTAATTTTTATACAGAATGGACAAATTTTAACAAAAAACTTTTTTAAGGAAGTGGACGCAAACGGGTACATCGAGAAATCAAGTTGCCACCACAAACCGTGGCTTAAGAATGCGCCAAAAGGACAATTTTTAAGAATAAGACGCAATTGTACAAATGATGATGATTATATAACACAGGCAGGAAAAATAAAGAAACAGTTCGAAGAGAAAGGATATGAGGAAAAAGAATTAGAAAAAGTCATGGAGGAGATTAAACATATCCCAAGAACAGAACTATTAATGTATAAACCAAAAACCGACCAACAAAAGTACACAAAAAAAATCCCCTTCATATGCAACTTTAATGGCAACCACAATAAAATTAATAAAGCTATAAAGAAATATTGGCACATTTTACAAGAAGACGTAGTTTTAAAAGGTATTTTACCAAATCAACCTCACATAATATATAGAGGGGCAGCTAATCTTAAAAGAACCCTAGTCCAAAGCAGTGAAGGACCTAAAACCAATGTCCATTTCTTAAATCAAAATAAAGGTTTCTATGGGTGTGGGACTTGTTTAGCTTGTAGAACTACTAAAAGTAAAAAAAGATGTATAACCAATATTAACGAATACACGAACAAAGACTTCACCATTAGGGACCAATTGACGTGTTTTTCGAAAGGAGTAGTTTATATGCTGAAATGCCCCTGTGACTTATTCTACATAGGAAGAACTATAAGATGTGTACATATAAGAATTTCAGAACACATACGAAACATTAAGAAAGGACTAGAGACACACAGTGTATCCAATCATTTTAAAACACACCACAATCAGGATCCTGAAAAACTTTTTTTCTGTCCATTGAAATTGGTGAAAAAAGATTGGAGGGGAGGAGATTTCAATAAAAAGATTGGAACAGAAGAAATGAGATTTATATACAATTTTAATACCCTTATACCGCATGGGTTAAATTCAGACTTCGAGATGTGCCACTTCTTCTAAAGATTGTTACTATAGAATATTTTTCTTCTTTAGGGACAAGACTATATGTTTTATTTTCCATTTTATTTTTATTTTTTAAAATTTGATCATCATATAGAGATTATGTATTGCACAACACAGGTTTGGGAAATCTGCCACTTTAAACGTCAGTATGGTGATTTATATAATATTTAAAAAAAATCTTGATAATATGTAAATTAATATTTAATAATAAAAGAATTTAAAGACCTCTTAATACAAAAGGGAAAGACTATTGAAATATGAATTGAAAAAATTAATTATTCCAAATTATAGAAATCACCACCTCACGTGAGAATAAGATTACCACGGCATGATTACTATTGTTGCATGTTATTATCATCAAATTATACTAACTAGACACTAAGTAGTGTTTTGCTCATATTGCATGCATCCTTTGAGGAATATTATGTTAAAGAGGAATCTTCTAATGCTGTTAATCAAGAGATAACTTGTTGTCTTAATGTTACATTTTGGAACTCACAGTGTAAAACACTGTGAGTTCCATTAATATGTGCTTAGGTTCCGAGAGCGGAACAGAATGAAAAGGAGGTTTGGAACGCACGTTGCGTTCCAGACGAGTTACCGCCGGAAACCGGAAATGATGAACCCGGAAATGGACACACAAATCACAGCCGCATTTGGAACGCACGATGCGTTCCAAATTGAAATCAGCCGGAACCCGGAAGCAATACAGAAATAGAGGGATAAAAGATCGCCGGATTGAAAAGACTTATACCGATTGAGAAAGCCCCCGGAGGGGCGAAACGCGTTTCGGTTATACTTGGACTACTACAGCCAATTGGCAGGACTTAATAGCTCCATATAGCTATATATTTTATTTCTATTTGTTTTTGTTGTTTTATACCTTTTTATACAATAAATACTACTTTTTTATTAAGACCCTCATTGGATCTTGGATCTTATTTCAAGTGGAACAGCCATCAGCCCACGTGGAAACAGGAAGGGGACATCCTTTTTAATAGTCCCAAGGCGATATCCATGGGAGCCATATGAGATTTGGCTCCAGGCTTGTGAGTACCAGACTACACTTTCTCTATATTTTATTATTCAGAGACTACTACACTATTATGTGTTTTATCTATATTTCTTACAGACATTATTCAAGTGTGATCAACCCTCTGTACTGTATGTATTTGCCTTTTATTTGTTGAGTGGTGTAAGGGGTTTCCACTCAGGGGGTTTGTAGCTCTACAGCTACCACACTTTATTTTATTTCTTTGCTGTATATATTTGCATTTTGTACTTCCTGTAAAGAGTCATCTAATGTTTAAACTTCCTTTATTGCAAATTCTATTTCATTTGGAATGTATCTCCTGCTCTGTTAATGGCTTGCTGGACTCTGCAGAAGCTTCCTGTATGTAATTATATTTCAAATTACAAAGCAGGAGATAAAAACTTTTTAAAGTAAATAACATCTGACTGAAAATGAAGCCATTTTGTTTTCATGCAGACTGTGTCAGTCACATGCAGAAAGGTGTGGCCAGGGCGGCATAAACAGAAACAAACATTATTTAACTCCTAAATGGCAGAGAATTGAGCAGTGAGACTGCATGGGGCATGATCTATACACCAAAACTGCTTCATTTGCAATATGGAAAATACTTATTTGGCTCCATTAGCTTTGCACAAGCACAAGTTCATCCCTTCATTCACTTAAATCAAGCCATGTTTTCATTCCTCTCTCCAAAATGGAGACTCTCCCTCATTGCTGTCCCGCATGCAGTCTCTGGTCCCATGTGTGTCATTGTCCCATTTGTTTTTCTGTAAGCAGAAGATGTGTCTGAAATTGCAGCTGTTTGTAAACATACAGGGGATAGGGCCATCTTATACAACAGCTTGTTTGCTCTGATAAAAAAATAGATTATTATATGCATTAAACGTATTAATTACTCCACAAAGTTCACTCTTGCAGTCCTGCGTGCAGTCCAGCTAGAATGCTTTGTTGAATTACGAAAAAATGTGTTGATGCATTACTGGGGCTTATGGAGAAGCAAGTCTCCTCCTTACTGACTATAGACACGGTCACAAAACACCATGAAAGAACTATTGTCACCATCTCTGATGTCTTCCAACCTTACCCAGCAGATGAACCTTACCTGAGTTCCCAGGATATCAGCCACCTAATTTCAGTAGTAACCTAGAGACCAGGTTGAGACATGGAAGTCCTAGCAAGCTGTATGGCACTAAAAACCAGTTCAAACTTAGTCATCGCTGGTCAAAACTTTAACCAGGTGGCAATTGGACACTGTATAAGGAATCAGGGCACTTTTTAGACAGTGGGCATCTGAGGGTGTGAGCTTGTTGGAGATGTACTGGTTGTGAGGGTTCTGTTTTGGGGAAGGGGGTTTTGGGGAACCGATTTCTTGGTGCCGTGTCTGAAGTGAACTCAGGGGGTAGGACATTGCGTTAGCACTGGACCTGATCATATTTGCCCAGGACATGACTCGGATGGCACCAATGAGGGTTCACCCTTTGTTATCAAAATCCCCCCTTGTAGCTTCAATATACATTTGATCTGTGTAAATATGTGTGATTTTGTAAAAGAAAGAGTGCTTTTTTTTACCGTCACTAAGTCTAGTGTATGGGGATAAGGGCTTTAATTACTGCTGTTCCGATACAACTTAACTAAAGGAGGGAGACAAAGTGACAGAGAGACCTGTAATGGAGCCCCTGTATCCCGACTGGATAACTCCGATAGTTTCTCCACTCAGTTGGAATTAGGAACCATTAGTGTTTATAGCCCCTTTTCCCCAGACAATGACACAAAATGCTGGGAAAAACAACTTGTTTTATTGCACACAATGCAGGCTTTTGTGCACAGACCACCAGCATGGGGTCTCCTTCACTATACAGTAGAACCCACCCAGGCGCCTCTGTGTCTGGGAGATAACTGTGTCAATGCTTGATAAATTACTTATCTCCTAGATACAGAGAGCCTAACATACAAACAACCCCCAAATAGGTTTATAACATCCCTGAACCAAAACATGTAATACATCCCCAGGTAGTTGAAGCGCCCAGTCAGGCCAAAAAGCACCCTGATCTGTGGAGGAACTTAGCTGAAAACAATTGCAGGTGTTTACATTTATTTACTGGTGCCTAAATGGTACTCTGGTGGGTCATGGTCAGGGGCTCTCCCTGGCTCATAGGACACGATAGTTCCCCTTGATGTCCTCTAGCTCCCCTCCAAATAGCACTCTCATTGGATGTTGACAAAGGGGTGAAAACCATGATGGAAAGTAACTGGGCCGAGGTGATGTTCGTTGTAACGGATCACCTGCACCCCGACTGGGTACCTCCGTTGAAGGATGCTCTTGAAGGATGCTCCTAGCACTTCCTGAGGACTCCAAGCACTGCAGAAGACACCACAACCACCGAACCGGAGAAGCATATGAATGCTCTCAATCATTAGAATGCTGTAAGCAGCTGAACAGGAAAAGGATACAATCAGCTTACACTCCTGGCAATCAGCATACAATCCAATTCCCCCAATAACGAGACGACACTTCGTTTTGAGGTCAAGCAGAACTGACTGTACTGGCACACACAGCCTCCTTTATTCATAATCCACAAACATAGTACTGCCCACAGGGTTTTGAAATACAACCAATCAATCCGTACAATACACACAGACACTGCCACACAAAATCCTCCCCTCTGCCTGTGATATGATTACTGAACACAATGGTTAATATAATTATCACAGGTGGAGCAATACAGTATTATAAAACATATCACAGCGAGCCCAAAACATGCAATAACCCCATAAAAGTATATCCACGGAACCAGGGGATCTGGGTGAACCACATATCCACAATTCACCCAGTTCCGTTCAGTAGTCTGGAAGATACAGTTTAATTACTGTATAATGTGTCCCCTGTTGTATAGTTTAAAACTACTGCACGATGTCTTTGTGTACCAAATACCAGCGAGATGGCACCGTGTAGAAAAGTCCAAACAGCTACTACGGCTCGGTGTATGGGCTGTGGACGAGGCAAAGAGACACACTTGCTGGAAACATATGGAGGTGGAAATAGGGAGCCAGGGCAGTGTTATAGCCTTTTAATTACGTTTTAATAGTATGTTTGATGGCATGTGCCACACAGCTCCCACCATTAGTCAGCATACACAGTCTGATCCCCACGGACTGGCTTGGGGGTGTCCGGATGATCACGGATCACTTTTCAAGTTTAGTCTGGCGTGATAACCCGTCAGCATTGCCATTGTGTTTGCTGGGGAGGTAATGAATAGTAAAGTCATAGGGCTGAAGTACCAGGCTGCAGCACAATGGGTTGTGATCCGTGAGCAAAGTAGACTGTTTTGTGGGAAGTCACCTTGCCCAGTAGAGGCCTCATCAGCTCCTCTCCGCGGATCATCTGAACCTCTTGTGCTGACCGAGCAGCTGGTGCCTGCATTCTCGAGCGGGCCTCCAGTGTTGCCCAGAAACACCCGAAGATTGCATCCAAGGTTGCCATGGGTCAGAGAGGTAAGTAGGTCAGGTGTAGCTGGCCCCGCAGAGCCAGACCATGTGTGTCGGACATCTTGCGAATCTGACTATATTTAATTCTAAAGTTCTAAATTACACATTACTATGCAGTTTATGATCAAAGGGAGAAAAACAGGAAATAAGGCCAACAGTAGAAACATACAGAATATAGTACTAACACTTGTTCTAGAACACAATGTTCTATAGCTCTTGTCTAGAGGTACATTCACTAAGCATCGGATATAGATAAAGTATATTATTGCAAGTAACTGACATGCTCCAAGTTAGCCAATTTTAAACAGACTGTGCATCCTGTCATCTGTAGCTTGAGCCTTGGGTCAGTACAGGCAAAGTGTATTATTCCCAACAATTATATAATTTTTTGTATTTTTATAATAAAGTACTATGTTCTATGTTCTATTCTTGATAGGTGGTTTAAAGATAAATGGTAGTCTAATGGGACTCACACTTTGTGTGTCTCCCTCTCTCTTTCTGTTTTTCAAAGTAAACTGTTGTCCGTAGATGTAGGGCTGCAGCTTCTTTATGGCCCACACCACCGCAAAGCATTCCTTTTCAATGGCGGCGTAGCTCACCTCCTGGTTTAGTAGTTTTCGGCTGAGGTAAGCTACCAGTTGTTCTGCGCCATCGTCCCCGACCTGGCTCAGCATTACTCCCAATCCAAACACAGAAGCATCTATGTGGATAAGAAACTATTTAGTTGAATTGGGAGCTGCTAGAACCTGCCAATGCAACCTTTAGATGTTAGAATGCTTGCTCGCACTCCAGGTCCATACTACTTGGCATGGATGTTTTTTTAGTTTAGGTCAGTGAGCGGTTTCGCTAGGGTACTATAGTTCTGGACAAACTTCCAATAATACCCAGCTGTCCCTAGAAAAAAACAATCACCTGCATCTTAGTGCAGGTAGTTGGCCAGGTGGCTACGGCCTCTGTCTTGGCTGGTTTTGGCTTCTGTTTCACACAAGTCAACCAGTGTCCTAGATATTGGACCTCTGCCATTCCTATATTGCATTTGCTGGATTTTAAGGTCAACCCTGCCTCTCATATTCTATCTAACAATGCTCCTACATGGACTAAATGTTACTCCCAAGTGTTGCTAAACACCACAATGTAGTCCAGGAATGCTCAAGCGTAGTCCAGGAGGCCATCTAGGAGCCAGTCTGCCATCCGTTTTAATTTGGCCGGAGCATTCTTCATCCCAAACAGCATGACTCGAAATTGGTATAAGCCAAATGTGGTGATGACTGCCAACTTCATTATGGCATCCTTGGCTAGGAGAATTTACACAAATCGATTGTAGTGAGGTACTGGCTGCGAGCCATACGATCCAGTGGCTTGTCAATGCGGGGCATAGGGTAGGCATCCATCACTGTCTTGTCATTCAGCCTCCATAGTCTACACAGAAGCAGGTCATCGCCTAGGGCGCAACTTAGCAGGGGGCGCCGGCAGGAGGGAGCTCTGCGCTTCCTTCCTGCCGGTTGCTCATATCCGGCCGCCCTCCATACAGCAGTGCTGCGCCGCCTGAGGCTTGTAAAAGCGCTCAGGTGGCGCAGCACTGCTGTATGGAGGGCGGCCGGATATGAGCAACCGGCAGGAAGGAAGCGCAGAGCTCCCTCCTGCCGGTCTCTCAATGTAGCGTGGCCGGGCGGCGCGTAACGCGGGACAGGAACCTCTGTTTCCTGTACCCGGCTGCCGGCGGACTGACAGGAAGTGCTCACTGAGTGAGCACTTCCCTACAGTCCGCCGGCGGCCGGGTACAGGAAACAGAAGTTCCTGTCCCGCGTTACGTGCCGCCCGGCCACGCTAGATAAGCAGGCAGGCAGGAAGGAAGAGGAGGGTAAGGACCAGCAGGGTAGGGGAGGGTAAGGAGGGTAAGGAACACCATGAGGAGGGGAGGGGGGTAAGGAGGGTAAGGACCAGGGGAGGGTAAGGAACACCAGGAGGAGGGGAGGGGGGTAAGGAGGGTAAGGACCACCAGGGGAGGGAGGGGAAGGACCACCAGGGGAGGGGAGGGGGTAAGGAGGGTAAGAACCACCGAGGGAGGGGGGGGGCAACCACCAGGGGGGGAGGGTAAGGGACCACCCAGGGGAGGGGGGGGCGGACCACTGGGGGTAAGGGGGGGTAAGGACCACCAGGGAGGGGGCAAGGGACCACAGGGGGGAGTGGGGGTAAGGACCACAGGGGAGTAGGAACCACTGGGAGGCTAAGGAGGGGGGAGTAAGGACCACTGGGGAAGGGTGGGTGGGAAGTAAGGACCACAGGGGAGGGGGAGAGTAAGGACCACTGGGGACGAGGGGGGAGTAAGGACCACCAGGGGACAAGGGGGGAGTAAGGACCACTGGGGGAGGAGGGAGGGAGTAGGGACCACTGGGGGAGGAGGGGTGAAGGACCACTGGGGGAGGAGGAGGGGAGTAAGGACCACTGGGGGAGGAGGGGTGAAGGAACACTGAGGGAGGAGGGGGGAGGTCCACTAAGGGGTTTGGGAGAGGGTGGACCACTAAGGGGGAAAGGACCACCAAAGGTGGGAAGGAAGGAAGGACCACTAAGGAGAGGGAGGAGGGTAAGGACCACAACGGGGGGAGAGGATAATGACCACTGGGGGGGGGAGAGGAGAATGTTTACTAAGGGCTTTGGGAGAGGAAGGACCAATAAGGGGGAGAGGGGGGAGTGAGAAGACCACCAAGGGGGGACTGCAGAGGGACAGGGGGCCAAGGGAGAGCACTAAGGGACAGAAGGGGAGAACATGGAGGGAAGGGGAAAACAATAATTGACAGGAGGGGAGAGCACTATGACATTTTTTTAAAATAAAGAGCTGCTCCCCTCTCAGTCCCTATCCTACCCCACAAACCCTCTCTTTTACACTACACACATACATAATGCATCCCCCCCACACACACACAGAGAAACATACAATGCATTCCTACTCACACACAGACACACCCGAAACACACAATGCATCCCTTATGTTCACACACTCATTCTCTTACACACAGAAACAAAATGCATCTCTTACACAATCAATGCACCCCTTACAGACACACACCGTATTCAATTACATACACAGAAACACACCTTGCAACCCTTACACACACACACACACACACACAGAAACATACAATGCATTCCTTACACGCAAACACGCACTGCATCCCCTATAAACACACTACATCCCTTACAGAAATTGGTATCCCTATAGACTACATTCTATATGAACACACACACATTGCATCCTCTACAATAACACATAAAACATCCCCTACACACATACACTCCACTTCCTGTGATAGAACTCATGGGTGGGCCATGTAGGTGGGTTTATGGGTGGGCATTGTAGGCATACTCACGGTCAAGCCCTGGGGGCCCAGACCTTGAGCTGTGTAAGCGGCCCTAAATATGGAGCTGCTTCCTGTTCGTTAATTGTTATGAGCACTGTTAAAAACAGTCTCCAGAGAGCCTCTTCTATACCAGACCTGTGGAGCCAGACTGAGCCCATCATCAGCCTCTTGTCCTCATCTGGTGGTAAGTAGGCAATCTAATATATTATTAGTGGCACTAATCTCTAATTTACCTCACATTAAATGGATACTATAGTCACCAGAAGCACTACAGCATAATGTAATGGTTCTGGTGTCTATAGCCTGTGCCTGTAGGCCTTTTAATGTAAACACACTGTCTTTTCAGATAAAAGACACTTTGTGAAGACTGGCGTTGGCCCATATGGCAGAGCATATGGGCGGGGCATTGTGATGTCACATAGTGGGCAGGACATATGGGGGGCGGCAAATTTGCCTAGGGCGGCAAAAATCCTTGCACCGGCTCTGCCTGCTTCAACACTAGTACTGTGGGAGAGGCCCAAGATAACACACAGTCGGAGCATCTCCTGTATCATATCTTCCCGAATGGACATGGGAATTCGGTAAGAGGGTTGGCAAAGGGGTAGCTATTTGTGAGTTTCTACTCTGTGGATTGCCAGGATAGTGTAGCCAGGTACATTAGAGAACATGGCCCCCTTGGCCTCTTGTATGTTCTTTACCTGGGTACTCTCGCTGGCTCTTAACAGGTCTTCCAGTCGGACCTCCTATATTGAACTACTACCTTCTTCTACGGGGTCAGGCAAGGGAAGATTATCTAAATCTTTTAATGCAGAGGCGCATATGGTCACCACCTCCTCCATCTGCTTGTGGTAGGGATTGAGCATGTTAACATGTAACATGCGACGCACCCCTTCCCCGGAGCATGGACAGATAACAGGTGGTATCACATTTTTGCTCCAGGCAACCTGCGGCTTGTCATTGTGCACGGGCTTTAGTACCAAGACTTTCTGCCCAATCTGAAAGCTGTGGTCTTGGCTTCCCTAGTGTACCAGGTGCGCTGATGTTCCTGGCCCACACAGAGGCACATGCTGGAAGCAGAGAGGCAGGGGAGTGTTATAGCCTTTAATGAAGTTTCAACAAGACCCTACTCTGGTCAAAATTCTGTAACATGTAATTTTTCGGGGAAACTGTGGAATGGAAACATTCTTGCAGTTATGAAATGGTTATCTAAATTGCTATCCCATTAGGTAAAGAGATGCAGATAATTAACTAAATATAATGTGAGTGCAGACTATCAACAATGTTGTTAATGTTCTTCTGTTTTGTATAGGGGAGACATCAACTTTGACTTCAGTTCCACAAGAAGAATCTGCTGTTGTCCAGAAAACAAACAGTAAAAGTAGAACCGAAGCAAAGTGTTTCAGAAAGAAAAATCTTAACAAAAGATTATGCAAAACTCTGGGAAAAGTTTACAAAAGTTCTATCTTCACTGGAGGTAAATCTGAGGATATTTGTACAGCTACAGACTATTTACAGAGAGTGGATGCGTGCACTCACATTAAGGAGAAAGCAGCCTTAAG